AATTTTCTCTCCTTTTTTCTAAATTCAACAAAATTCCTTGTTTCGTTTTCAGTGTTTGATGCCACACTATTCTATTACTCCAACAGTGATTGTTTGGATCTGTTCTTTACATGTGAATTAGCACCTTGCTAATTGCAGAACACCAGGATGCATTTCTTCTTAAACAGACAAACCTATTTATTGATTTTATTTATTTATTTATTCTGAAATATGCGTGAAGTATGCTTTCTATAGCAGCATTATAGAAGTTATTTAAACTTCAGTGGCAATCTCCACCATGACTATCATCTTTCTACAGTACCTCTAGGGAAGCAAAGCCTGAAAAAACATGTCTATATATGTAAATATTACAAATCTTTAGTGGCTGGGCTAGATGTCATATGAACTTCCATCTGTCTGAAAACTCCATCAGAGACAGTAAATCCTGCAGACAACTGCAACACTAGCAGACTATAAGATTCTTATCTGCCTGTGAATATTTTATTTCCCTGTGAATTTCTGTACAGACTTTGAGAGCTGGAATGACCCAAAACTTTTAAAATACAAATGAAATACAATCCAAGAATGTATTACATCCCATTTTGTGGGATTCAAGCAGATCATTCATGACTGACCTTTCTCACAACATATTTTTGGAAGAAGCCATTGGGTGTTCAAGCTCCTTGTCATGGCAGCCACCTTGATTCACACAGCAGGGAATAAACGGATACTTGGAAACCCACGACAAGTGGGAAATACACACAGGGAAATACATAATGCCTGAATCCTCTCTAGTGACTGTATGTCAGGTCTAAGCCATAACCATGCTCTCTGAGACAAAGGCAGTTTCTGTTTCCCAGCCTCAGCAGCCCAGATTTGCCAGCTCTATGTTAGTGCTACTATTCGTGGAGTTCTTCACAGTAGTTTTAATCCGTGCTATCTGTCTTTCATGTCTCTACACTGCTTAGACTACCACAATTCTTCTCCCTACCATTCTTGACAGTGAAAAGAAAAAACGTATACATGAAGAGGATCTAGAGTGCTGTAATTTCCATCTTTTGTGAATATTAATAAAGGTAATCTATTTCTCCAATCTTCATTGTTTATTTTTAACATCTTCCTATATCAGAAACAAAAGCCACGCAGTTATTAGTTTCACCCAGCATCTGTGACAAATAAAGGCATCTCCAGGTGCAGTGGAGTTCCTTGCTGTACCCCTGAAGTCTAAGGTCAAAGCACTCACTAGAGCCACACAAAACAGGGCAAGCGAGTGGCTACCACAGCTCCCAGAGGTAAAGGAATTGTGCCTCTTCCGTAACGCAGAGGACTCGGGCCACCGACGCCCCGAGCAGACACTCGCATTACGGCAACCGTGCTCAGATTGTTGCAGGTTAAAACCAAACTGGGTGGCTCTTCAGGCAAGGTGTAAGCAGGCTGTAGAAACCTTGCCACAAAGACAGTCGCAAAGGAGCTCTCCTAAACGTTTCAGTTGGTTACCTTGCCTTTAAAGCAGGAACAGAGCTCCTATGTTCATTGTCACCCGGTAACGCTAAGATACTGGTTAGTGTCCGGCTGGCCAAAAGCCTGTCCAACCTTTGTCAAGGAACGGGCTCACACACCCCACTTCAACGCAAGGTCCTTCTGGCCTGAAGCACAACCACGACTTTTCTCCTTTCGTGTTACGTTACTTGTGATGCAGATTTCTCACTATATGCTTCTTAACTTGGTTTCTGAATTTTTTTTATTCCTTTTTACACTTTTCAGCTCCTCTCATCAGGCTCACAATGCTGTGATCTCAGAACAAGAGTATCTGACAAAAAATACATTTCCATTGTCGTAGAGACCTAATAATTTTCAGAAATCTTGCAAAACTCTCAAGATGTAAAAAGAAGCTACAGATAGAATGAAACACTGCAGTTGGCAAACGCTCCAGCTACTGTCATTCTGCCTTTCTACAGAAAAAAAAAATTTAGGAAGCGTTCCTGATGGATCATCAGCATTAATGGGTTCACCGAATCACTTCCAGTACTTCAAGTCAAAACAACTTACCCAGATAATACAGCAAAAGAAAATGCACATTACAGGCTTTATCCAGTGTTAAACAGCATGCCCACTATTACGCTTTCCCACAACTGAGAACTGAGTAGGAAAAATAACAGCAGTTATTTATTGCACGTGCAGCTGTGTTAATTGTCTTCAAGTACCAATTTTACTTACTGCAGAGGGCAACTGATTTCTGATTCAGTTCTGCAATTCTTCATATACCATTTCCATGCCAAATGTTTAAGGCTGACCACTCACTATTAGTGCTTTCTCCTGTATAGTCTTTCCTATGCCTTTTAGACCCCACTGAGATCCAAATACTGTAATTCATATTAAGCAACACTAACCAATAGCAAAAAGAAAGGTTTAAACAAATGATTTGAAGATATTCATACTCTCTGTTTCTCGCCAGTAACAACATTTAAATCATTCACATCTAGGAAACAATAGTTTTGTAACAACAAACATATTTAAAGTATAAGGGAACCATGTGATGCTTGACCTTGCACTCTGCAGTCCATGGGAGTTTGCAACTTCAGTCATGAACGGGGGGTTCTGGGATTTACTGGAAGTTAAACAGTAAATAATACTAGTAAAATTTACCTCAATAAGACCAAATTTTCCCCTACTTTTACTTAAACTCACTTTTGAAAAGATATTTTAATAATTTGAAAATATTTTAATCTTCATCATTTTTAATTATTACTATATTTTATAATACTCCTGCAGCCCTCATTCAATCTAAGCTTCCATGAAAATGTCAGTATCTTTTACATTAAATAAATTCCTTTGTGTAACAAAAGAGCAATTATTGACTGTAATTTTAAGCAAATGTTATAAACTGTTCCTCATTAATATGTAGTAAGTGTCAGAAAAATTACTAAAACACATATTGCTTTATGAAAAATCCTCTACATATAATTGCTCATTTAACAGAACAATGGCACAAAATGATTTTTTTCCCATTATGTATCAGAAGCCCGTCATCCTAAAAGTCATTCTGGCTCCCACATTATAAATACACTTCAGCATTTCTATAGGCAATGCCAAAAAAATCAGCAAGTGCTCACTGACTTTTGCCAACAAAAGCATGACTCTTTGCACAAGAATTTTCTTGCCATTTATAAACAAAGACATTTTGAAAGTTCACGCTTGTGATTAGCTATGGCAACTGATATAGTCCACCATAAGATAAAGCAGATAGCAAAAGAGTGATTTATTACAAGCAGTAAATATTGTACAATAACTCCATTTAAATATATAACATCTATGTTTAAAAAAAAGTTACTCCACATTATATTTAAAATAATCCATTGCACTAAATATTATATAATCTATGCATCAGATATTCAGGAATTAGTTCAATTATATGAAAAATTATCCTGTAGCATCAACAAACAAGTAATGCTACATTACAAAAATTGCAAAGTCACAACTTCTAATGCTAAAAGATAATGTTGACTATCTTACCAAAAGGCAACTTTAATGTTAAAATTCTCATTGCTATGGAATAGTCTCAGTCATTTCTGACAAGACTTCTTCACCACCTACTTGCTGTTCAATCCTGTGACTGTTCAGTGTCGGAACACGTGATGGCCAATCTAATTTGTACAGCTAACTGCAAAATGTCCTAAAAACCTGCTCTGGCATTATGCCTCACCAGGTCACCCTAGAGCTTGACCACTTCACCTTTTTCCCCACTGCCCTCACTATGGTGATCACTGTATGAGAAACACTACAGGAAGGAGGGCCCTGGCTGGGTCAGGAGCTGGATTCCTCTCCAGCTATACACCAGACACAGTATTTTCCTAAATACAGTAACTAGAGCTAATTTAAACAATTTTGAGGCTCTGTCTAAAGACTAAATATTGTAGTTGCAACTTTTATTATATTCCCATAATAGAATTATGTGAGAGGAGTCACCATATTTACACTATTTTAGTTCCTAAATCTCAATAACATGCAAGAAACAGGAACACTTCAAAACATGCTAAATTCAGTCACCGATTTTTATTTGCCCAGGAAGCAGGAAGTTCACTGGTGGTTAATACATATCCTGTGCTATCTACTTAATTTTGTGCTGTCTTTTTGACACCTGCACAATTTTCATCTCTTATTAAAGCATAAGAATGCAGTGGATAACAAACTAAAAGAGCGTAAGTCAAGACTATCTTCATTTTTTTCCACTTCTATGAATCTACAAACTGCTAACATCGCATATGGTTCACACAAAAACAGGAAGAAAGAAATTGTTCCTTTTTTCTGCAGCTAAAACCTGAGGTTTTATTTAGGGTTTTTTTTGTTTGGTTTGGGTTGGGTTGGGTTGGGTTTTGGGGTGGATTTTTTTCTACAGGTTTCTCAGTCCTTTATCAATTTTCTATTAAACTCATCAGAAGATCACCTTACTAAAAATAAAGTCTTAGTAACAAACTCACGATTTGGCTTATGGAAATGTGTCATGCCAAATGACACTTCTTTGTATAACAACATTGAAGACACGCACAATGATTAAATAAATAAATAGCGCAGATTAGTGTGGTTATATTATGCAGAATACAGAAACTTCTAGTTTATAATACTTCTGTGCTGACTCCTAAGACCATTCTTAGTCTACAAAAATCCAAAACAAATAAATAAAACTCCAGCTCCTGAACAAAATAATAAACTGACTGAAAGTATACCCCATACCGTTGTTTTAAATACAAAGAAATACAAGTGTCTAAATTTTTTCTTCCTGTTTACTTTACAATGTGCAAGAAAAACTTAGGTTGCAGTTTTCCAAACTCACTGAGCAAATAGGTCACATAACTCCTATTAAATTCAGTGGAAGTTATTTAGCTAAATCCTCTGGTCATCTTAACTTATGTTTTAAAAATTTGTCATTACAGCTAAATTCATCTCCAAGAGATAAAGGAAATAACTAACCCACAAATTAGGTAATAACCCTTATGAAAAGTAATTTAAAAGTTTTGTCTTACCTCGTTAAACCTTGTCACAAGATCTTCTACAGCATTATGTTCACCATTTGGGGAAGAAAGAATAGTAGCAGATATGGAAGCTTTAATAGATGGCAGCTTGCTTTGGCATTCAGCGTTACCCAAATCCCTGGTTAAAAAGCAGAGGTAGTCAATGGGTAAGACTTTCCGGTAGAGCTCCTGCTCCTGCTCGGTCAGAATGCTGGCAACCTCCTCCGGGAACTGGATGAGGTGCTGCAGTTCAATCAACTCTTTGCTGATACCAGCCACGTTGGAGGGAAGGATGCTGGAGCCAGCCATAGATGTACATGCTTGACGTTCTAAAACAAAACAAATAAAAAAATTTATTACGTTTCGCCTTTAACTCTTGGACTGGGCTGCGCAAAAGCAAGACAACTTGTTCTTTTTGTTCTGTTAAACTCTTCATTCATTGATTCAGCAGTACACTATATCCTAACTACTTTAAACAACCTAATACGTTCTTTTAGTTGGGGTCTTTCTGCATCTCTCTCTCTGGTATTAACTAGATAGATGTTAACTGGGGCTTCTGAGATTGTTAAGCTACCTGCCAAAATGTGCTTGCTTCCCGACTTATCCAAACGCCTGCTTCAGTCACCTGAATTCTTATCAAAACTTCAAATAAAAGGATCATCTGGGCAGGGTGCAGCTCGGTTTTGCCTCCATATTAGAGTCCGTGGTACAAAGGGGTTTGATGCCTTGACTGAGGCATCGGGACTCTATTGCCACAAAAAATAATGTATAACGATCACGTAAAACCCATGTGGGTCAGCATTTTCCTTCGTATTTCTCTTGCTATACGACACAATTTATCTGAGTTCACTACATCGTGAAACTAAATGTCCAACGTTACAAAATATTTTTCATTCCTCTGGGAAAACGCATATATTTGGGAGTATGCATGTTTTATCTGTTATTACAAAACATTCATGGTAGTTTTATAATATCCTAGCAATGAGCAATGATGTCCCTTGAAAAATAAAACTTTTCCTAAGAAGGAAGAAGCCAAGCTTTGTAAGACCATGTGGAAAGCCTGAAACATCAACACAACGATTCCAAAACGGTGAGTATGAGTCTGCTGACTAGGTAAGTTTAGAATGGGTTCTCTGAACAGTAATTTTTCAAGAATTACTTAAATGTATAAACATAGTAGTATATTCTGTACTCTTCTTCCTTCCCAGCATAAGGAGTTTATTTTTTTGCACTGCTTCACAAAGTATCTTTACGGATTTTTTGCATACATAATGGTGGTACACTCTAGATCTATCTTCTACTTCAAATTTTTTTATCAATAAGCTCTCATGTCATACAGGGAGCAAATATCCCTTCTGTTCTCTAAAAAACTCCCAAGTTCATAATGACTGACATTCATTCTCTTGTAATAAACATAAAATATGCTACATGAGATTTCCGTTGTTACATTCATTTTATGCAAACTCTGTTATCAATCAGTGGAAAGTTAAAAAGACAGAAAATTGCCTTTTCTTAATATATTCTACTAAAAGTCAAAAGATAAATTCTAGCAGCCCTAAATAAAGCCTTTGGGCTAACAGAACCTGTTGAGAAATTTTCAAATACGTAACAGGCTTCTGAAAGAGCCAAAGAGTAATTGTTTCTGTATGTCAACTGGCAAGCAAAAATGTAATGGACTTAATTTGCAACAAGCAATAGCCTGGTTACATAGCGGGAAACAGCGATAACTTAAAGATAGTGAAGTAGTGCTGTACAATATCTGCAGATACCAAGAAATCTGTGTCACAAACTCCTGCAAGAAAGATTGGGGGGAAAAAAAGACAGTTAAGAACACCATGTTGACATGTCAATCCTGTTTTGGGCAGCAGGTGAAGCGCAGTGAGCTTCTGGCTTCCTTTCAGTCTTTTTGGCTTTGATTCTACAAAAGACTTCAATTCTATTTTCTAGTTCAATCTGTGCGGAACAATTCTGAAAGGTGGCATAAGAAAAAGCTCTTAAAGCTCATTTGCGCTGTTCTTGACTTTGCCACAGAAGATAAGCTTACACCAAAATAAAAACAATGCAAAACAGAATGTTTGTTTTATATTACAGGGATTGTATATTTGTGTAGTGCCTTGCATATATGGACCGAACTGTCACAACCAGCATTATCTCAGAAAGAGGAGGATATGGAAGGCGTGACGTGAACATCTGCTACCACCCATTTGCTCCCCAGAAGTCACAGTGCCTCGCTGACCCCCCCATGCGTGACAGCTCTTCTCACTCAAGGAATTTCCTGGGAAATACGAGGTGCCCTGCCAGCCAGGAGAAAGCAGAGAAAGTACAGCCTGTACCAGCCTCTCCTGTGCCTCACTGCTAAAACTGAGGGTGTACAGGTTGTGTCTACGTCGTCAATTTATTTTAGATCACAAATGCACTTTTGAAGTGAATCTCCCAAACATCCTCACTTACTGTGCTTTAGTTTACAGTCTTGGAGCACACAAAGCGGATGCTTTTCAGATGAAACTGCACCAGAAGATGTGCTCCCAGAAGGCAACTAACACATCCAGCACAATTGCTAACAAGCTGTAGCCGTCAACTGCATCCAACCTCTGGAGATGACTCTGAGGTCAGGAAAGGACAGCTGGACCAGACAGCTCAGATGATGGCTTGGCTGCAGGTGATGACATAACACAGGAGACAAGACAGCCAGTAGCATGGACAATGCAATGCCACAGAAATACTGGTGCTTTCCAAATTCAACATTATTTGGTAACTACAGTTATAACCACCTTATATCTATCAATAAAGCAGGAAAGGAAGGGTTAACTCTATAAGGAGTGCCCAGTCAAGTAATGACTGATGGAAGAGAGATAGCACGAGTGAAGATGAGCTGCTTGCTGACAAGATTGAGGGGTGCATTCTCAATAATTAACCTTCTCCTTTACAATATCACCTACAAAACCCGCCCACATTCACACTTTCAACAGGTCTACAATTCCACATTGTCTCAGAACTTCAGCTTTGCTCAAAGACCTCAAAAACCGGCAAAAGCTGACACTGAATTTGCAACAGCTAGAGCACACTGTTCACGATCCTATTGCACACGGCCTTGCCTAAGTATAATCACCCTTCAGGCTCCACTTACTACAACCTCTCACATCTAAGAACAAAACTCAACATGCTGAAGTGACCAGAGGTAAGAAGGTGGCTCCACGGTGTATCTCTGGAGTGCCAGAAACTACTAGGAATATCTCATTTGAATTTCATTTCAGTAGACTGACTGCTCGTTGATCAAGTCTAGCAGAAAGCTAATGCAGGGATTTTGAAAGTCTTTAATGAAACTACCTTTAATGAAACCATCATCTTCCGTAATGAAGGCTTCACAAGCCAGCTTCATTCCAACAGAAAAATGAAGCTGTCAGAAAGAAAATCTCTTTGTGGAAGCTAAGCCAAGATGATTCCAGTCACAGGCTAAACAAGATCAACCACTGGTATTGCTGGATTTGGAAGACAACAGAAAATAAATAAAGCTCTTCCTGATTAAAAAAGAAAAAAGAATTTCCAGCTAGCATGTCTCATTTCTCCATTAATTGGAAGAACTAAACAAGTGCTGCATCTTTAATCTAAGAGTACATGGAACAAGCTGCTGCAGCAAGACTGCGGCTGATACCCAAGGAGAGGTGCACAGGCCAAATTATAAAGGTTCACAGCTCATGGCTGAAGTATGGATATAAATACTGAAGAAGTGGAAATATAACTTATTTCTATTGACTATTTCTACACCTATAAATATTTCTTTCGTCCATAATTCACATCTTTGCAAGTCTTGTTTGTTGACATATTTCACCTCTCCAGATTCTGTTATCTTTCCTCATTCCAGTCTTCTGTGTTTTATCACAGAAAATCCAGGATCCTCATTCTCAGCCTCACCACCCTCCATGATTTACACTCTGCACAAAAGTCTACTCCTTTTTTCTTTCCCCTCTCTTTTTATTTGCCTGTACTAAACTAGTCTTTTTTCTGGACTATTTCTTTGTCTCTTTTTTCTGTCTAAGACTTCCATCATTTTTCACGCCAGGAACTGGTCTGCACTTCTCTGTTTCTGCTATAAAACTCCCTAGCCAGTCTCATCCACAAGTCCTCTAGCTTTGTGTTGTCATTTTATGTTCTTCAGGAAATAGATCATATCTTTCTGTGCTTCAAAGAAAGACCAGGTCCTTAGATTAACTTGCAGAATGGAGCTGCTTTCAGGCCAGAATCACAGTAGATTTTGTTAGAGTTAAGGCAGGATACAATCCTCGCTAAAATTAGCTGCTCCTGCAGTAAACGGTATTATTCTTTGTGCTCTACCACATCAAGTTAATGCTAAAACTAGTAGAAGAAAATGAGGACCCTGACTACTAATTTGCAAGTTGTCTAAAGCTGGAATTAATAGCTTTGCTTATCCTTCTGATAAACAGCTGAGGCAGATAATCTTTTAAATAGCAAGCACTTCTTTTATTAATCAATACAAGATAACCTCTGCCTAGCTTTAAAAAAAGGACTCATGGGTTGACTTAATCATTGCTGATACACATGGGAACAAAAAGGTCTCATCTTTTCTAACAAGAATCTAAGAATGGGAGAAAAATACAGAATGCCTGCTTCAGGATATTACTCAGCCTAGGCTTGTCATATACTGTAAAAAACACTGTCTTAAGAATCACTCGTTTTTATTTTTTTTAAAAGCCTTCTACAAGGTTTGGTAAGGAGCTCTTCTATCACCAGATTAACTTCAAATTAACTCAGCCTTTATTACTATAAAACTTAGAATTTCCATATATCTTGTATATGTATAGCCTCTATAAAAGCTATACTGAAAAAATAAATTTCAAGTGTGTAAGTATGTAAAAACTGTGTGTGCATGTTTGTGTGTGTAAACGAAAAAATTTTCAAGAGTGTCTTGAAAACCTTTTTTTTCCATGTTTTTCTCTATTGAACTATATTATGTTTGTGTTTGCTATATTAGCAAGAGGTGGATTCAGGAAATTTTTATAAGTAAAACCATGAAAAATACTGCTAGAAGGCTAGTGTTAATTATCTGTAATCATTCACAGAATTTTTCCACATTTATATGTTCTACTAAACACAGTAGTTATGTGACATATGTGATAAGTCCTAACAATAAAAGCAAAATTATCTGTACGTTTACCGTATTTCTCGTAAAGCTAAAATTAAAAGGTGCTTATTTATTAAATTTTATTTCGGCATGCACACAGATAACTTATTAATACACAGTATAATATAAACACTGGGCTGCTACCATCAATTTTCTCTAAGCAGAAATTCAGGATTGGGTTTGAGCAAA